GATGTCCACGATCGCCTCGGAGTCCAGCGCAGCGTATTCTTTGCAATGGACCTCCCCAGGTTGATCCCGGCAAGCCATGTTGCGGCACAGGTGGATCGAGCGGCCCTCGAGCGTCTCCAGCTTCTGGCGGAGTGCACGTGAGCTGGCCCCTTTCACACTCAGGTAATCCACCCAGAGGCCCTTCCGGTCGATCCGCTTGGGCTCCGCAAGGTCGATCTTCAATCGAGCGACATGGTCGTCGATCTTGACCAAGGCCCCACGACCCTTCACCTTCTTGCTGTAGTACTCGGTGGTCGTAGCTGGTCCGGTCTCTGGCCCCATCCAGTGGATCTGGGTAAGGGCGGGCGGAGCCGGCGGCAGGTACCTTTCGGCAGCTGCATCGCCAGGCTCTCGCCGGCGTCACTTGAAGCACCGCGCCAGTAGACCGATCAGCCAGAGGGCGGCAGCGCATGGGGCCAACAGGGTACGACAGATATGGGTGAGAATGGCGAGCACCGCAAGGAAGGCCAGGAAGATGAACGTCCACGCCACGGCGGGCCATGCGGCCCCGAAGACCGTCAAGCCCAACTTCTCGAGGGCGTAGAAGAACCAGCCGCCATCCTTGGTCAGCCAGCCCGTCTCGGCATGGGTTGAGAAGGCGCCCCCGAGGCTGTCCAGCTTCTCGCAGGCGACTCCGCCCATGCCACTCAGGCGCCAGGCCCAGGTGCCCTCGCTCAGAGGCCTCCATCCCAGCGCCCAGACGCCCCAGCCGCCAACCCAGGACTCCCCGTCGCGCGGGCCGTCGGTGGGGTGGCTGCTGTTGTCGACTCCTCCAGCGGCGTGGGCGGGAGGCGGGGGCGGCGCTCCCGGCGGCCCGCTGTCGGGCGGCGCCTGGCGACTGCCTGCAGCCTCACCTCCCTCCTCGTGCTCGTCAATCCCCGCGTCGTACTCGGAGTCATCGTATACGGCACAGTGTACCCGAACGGGGCCTCGCGGGCCTCGGCCGGGCTGCCCCATCCAGCGCGGGCGACAGCTGTGCTGAGCGGCCCGCGCCAGTCGTAGGCGGTCGCGCTGGTGGCCAGCGCGATCAGCCCGCGTGTGGGGCCCGCCAGCGCCAGGCGCCAGGCGGCCATCGCACGCGCGCTTCCGGGCGCCCGAGGGGCGCCCAGACCTCCTGAGGTCGGCTCCAGGGCTTTGAGCCCCGAAGGCTTGAGCGGGAGAGAGGGAGAGAGAGGAGCAAGCAGAGGCAAGGGCAGGGAGAAAGAGGAAACCCAAGCCGACTGGGGAGGGCGGGGTCCAACCGTTTAGGACAAACAACTACATCAAGATCGATACACTGAACATTGCACCTTGGCACGTTCCTTGGTGCGTTCCGTGGCGAGTCCACCTGGCACGTCGCGCGGCGCGTCCCCTGGCACGTCCCGCGGCACGTCCATTGGCACGTTCCGCAGCGCGCCCCCTTGGCACGTCCCGCGGTGCGTGCCCATGGCACGTCCCCTGGCACGTCGCCTGGCGCGTCCCTTGGGACGTTCCGCGGCGCGTCTTCCTGGTATGTCACGTCTGTCGATTAGCTCTGGGGCAGCTACCATCTGCTCAGGCAACTCGAGCTTAAGATCCAGATCAGTTCGGTCAGGGCTCGGTGGCAACGAGGACTCGATCCACAACGCTACATATATATAGAGCACAATCGCGGCATGGCACATGGCAGTTCAGCACGGCGTAGCACGGCACAGCCGTCGGCACGGTGCATCAGGATCGATACATTCAGCATTGCATTTGCCCGTCGCCCAGTCAGGTGTCTTTGAAACGATGCCATGTCTTACGCTTCTATATTCCCTTCCGGGTTCGTGGGTCGATCATGTTTTATCAATAGGACACGGTGAATTTTTGGAAAAGGAAATAAAGACATCGTTAGACCACCTGCGCCCAGAGGGCTGGTGGGAGTAGCGGTATTGGTGCTTTTTGGTCTCCCCCAAAGTGACTTTTGTGCGGGCTCGCTGTCTCCCGATCGCTGGCCGCGATGCGGCGGTGGCGTCTTGCGTGCTTGGGTTTGGTCCTCCCCAAAAAGCCGCGTACCAAAAATCACTCTTGCCCAGGGTCGTTCTTGCGTGTAGCCGACTCCCATTCCTCCTTATCCATCATTTCCTTGTCGTTTTTCCTTTATCCTCCGCCCCCTCCTTTTCATCCTCTTCTTCAGTTCTCCTCTTTCGTGCCCTTTTCATCCTCCTCCTCTCCCCCTCCTCTTCCTCCTCCTCCTCCTCCTCTTTCTATTCCTTTTCTTCTTGCTCCTTGTCCGTCGCCGTTTTGGCTCAAGGGGCCTGCTCCTGAACTTCCCAACCTCTCGAGGCGCCTGGTGGCCAGGCACCAAGGGTGGGCCGCGGCCGCGCCCCCTGGCCCTCGGCGGCCGCTTCCTCTCGGCTCCCGTTTCCTGTGTCCCCCTTCGCCGCGGGGGCGATGCGCCAGGCCATGCCGTGGCCAGGAAGTCTCATGCTCCAGCCACCCTTGTGGAGAGGTGGCGGGGGCCGCTCCGACTGCCCGCGGTCCCCAGGTACGAGCGCGACCGACACCAACCGGATTGTCGGTTTCAAAGAAGCTCATCCAGCCTCTCTCGTGCAGTGTAGATTCTCCCACACAGGGATCGGGGCATTACGGACATCAACAACCACATTTCGGGAATCCAGGGTCAGATGTTGCAAGCTGAGAATAGCACCCAGCGCTTGCAGGCAGCTTATGCAGATTTCGCGAAGCAGACGGTGGATGATTTCGCAAGTAGTCGTTCTATCCAGGGACAGGGCTTTCTTCGGGTCATTCAGGATAGCCGCGGGGGTGCTCAGGGTGAGCTGAGGCAGGAGGTGGTGGGGGTCATTGATACGATGAAAAAGGAGCTAGCGGCGTTGATGGAGGCTCATATTGGAGGCACAAGTGCTCTCTTAGGTGGGATGATGGTCGCCGTCCTGGGAGGCAGGTTCGTCGCTGGGTCGAGCTAGGTGGCGTTGGCAGCCCTTCTCGCATGATGGTCCCGGGATTCCGTCGCCCGTTTCTTGAGGCTACCTTTCGCCAGGGTGCCAACCCTATCGTGAACAAGTGCGCGTTGGTCAGCGACGTCCCGCGCGTCCAGATGGAGGCTTTCAGCTGTTGAATAGAAGGTGTTCTCGATGTCCAAAGGACCCTGGCGGCTTCCACAGACCACGCGAGGTGTCTGTATGAGGGGCCGTCTGCATTTCCTGATTCTGAGGGTGGAATGAACCTGGAGCTCCGCGTCCGCCGTGACCCCCCTTCAGACGTCTCGCAAGTAGTTTTACTATTTCGGGGGCATGAGGCAGACGCGGGCGCAGATCTTGGGGCAGGAGCGCGTCGGATCCATGGGGCTCGGAGGGATGCTTATGTGACGAATGTGCCATTCTTGCTCCAGTGGTGAAGATTTCTATCGCTGATCATGGCCCAGCGGCTGGCGGCGTGAACGCGGCAGCGGACAGAGTAGGCGTGGCCGGGATCGAGGGGGGGGCGCGCGCGCCTTGCTTGCGCGCCCGCTCCGCGGAAATTCGTCCCTTCAGGCGCGCGCAACAGTTTTTTTGATTGAAGGGGGCTCAACTGGGCCCCTGTCTCCTGAAAGTAGCGCTTGTTGTAAGTGAATTCGCACAGCGTCGCAATTTTCTCCTCCGCTGGCTGGGGTTGTTCGTGGGGTTTATCGTCCCTCTACTCCGCTCGCGCGCTGAGCGTGGAACAATCGTGCTCCTTTCGCTTTCATCCCGCCCCTTTCTCGAAAGGCGGGTTGGGCAGGTGTCAGCACGCAAAACGAGGTTCCTGAGAGGTGTCAGATTGCATGCTTCAAGGAAACCCATTGTTCCAAGGTCGACTTGGCCATGCCACCGTGGATGCAAATAACTAACGCGAAACCAAATCATGACGTTGGAATTCTGTAGTTGAAAGAAGATCCGGCCCACGACGATATGGAGCTCACGACGTTTATTTAATCGCTTCGCTCATTCCGCCGGCCCTGGAGCGCTATTTGGGGCCTCTTGGGGCCGTCTTGGGGGCCTCTTGGGGGCTTTTTGGGAGCGTCTTGGGGCTCCTTGGCGGCGTCTTGGGCCTCCCCGGGGTCTCTTAGGGGGCTCTTGGGGGCCCCTTGGGGCGGGAGGGGAGGCAGTCGATTGCAGCCACCCCTTCGGGATAGCTTCCCCCCTGGGGATCGCCCGGGACCCAGCCGGGACCCAGCCGGGGATCAGCCGGGGTATTTTTCGTCCAGGGGCCCCCAGGGGCCGCCCCGCGCGCGCGAACTAGAAATATTGTGAAGTAGCTTCCGCAGATATGAGCACGCCTGTGGCCCGTTGGGCCGGCGAAATTTAAACATTTTTTGCGGCGGCCGCCGATCGCGCCCAGCTCGCAACCCGCGGATTCCGATAGGCGAAATTCCAACGTTACAAATATGTGTCGCGCTCGCGGTTTCCATCCACGGCCTTCCTGCATGGCCGATTCGAGGGTCCCTTCTCGACCCGCAGAACTGATTAGTATCGTTGGAATTTCACCATTGTTACTGGTTGCAGATCTGATCGGGAACTGGAACATATACATTACCGGTGGCGGGCTGTTTTTCAACCCCGGAAATTTTTGACGGTCGGGGACGACGTCGGGTGGTGTGGTGTATATTTTCCTCCTTTTCCAAGGGAAACAACGAAACATGTATACACCAGGATCCCGTATCCACCAGGATCCGCGTTCTTGTGCGAGTTTTGGTGCGGAACCAGAAACAGCTTCGGTATATACAGTTCGGCTCCCTATATTAAGGTCGCAGATTTTGTTACTTTGTCTCCATATATGGTTCTTATCGAGGTGGTGGAAGGGAAAGTCCCCCTTCTGCGGTGCTCGTGGCCTGCTGGATCTCACGATTGCGAATGTGCATGTGCCTAACACCTGTGATCACATTCGCGTGTATAAATCGTATTTGAGGAAGATCCTGAATGTGATTATCCCCTGCAGCTCACAGTATGGTGCTGGTAGCAGGAGACTGGACTTCTGTTCCGATGGAAGGTGCGGGGTACGGCGGGAGAGTTCGGCCCCGGGGATCGTTTGCGGTGTGGCGCCTTTCACCAACACTGCGGCTCCTGGCGTGGAGATTTTCAGCGTGACCCCGCGCGCACGGACGTTGTCGAGTGCGAGATTCGTGGGTTTTTTCGGCCTGACAGGGTCTACGCCGCTCTCCGTGTTGGAATCGTCAATGCGTTGGTTGTGTCGGGTAGCGCGTTTGGGACCCTGACCTACAATTGGGCCTTACAAAAGGGCGTCATCGGACCATATCCTTGTCGCGGACAGGCGGAACCTTCCCCGGGACACCCCCCAAGACACTCTCTTCACAGGGTGGACCTTTACCTTGTCCTACATGTCCACAGGGGGGACCAGGAAACCGTGGATGGGTGGCTGCCGCAGCCCAGTGGGGGCGGTAATCTAACCTTGGGCCCCCCCTGCCCCCCCATACCCCCCCCGTGCCCCCCACGACCCTCCCATTACTCCCCCCCCGTACCCCCTCTTACCCCACCCGTATGCCCCCTTCGTCAGCGAGGGGAAGAGGGAAAGGAACGGACTTAACTACGATGTTTCTTTTCTCTGTTCGTTTTTTTTCGGGCGTCGCGACGACGACGACGACGACGACGACGACGACGACGACGACGACGACGACGGCGGCGGCGGCGGCGACGGCGACGGCGACGACGACCACGGCGGCGGCGGCGACGACGGCGACGACGACGGCGACCACGACGACGACGTTTCACAGACGCCGAAGGGTCGGCGGATTTGAAGCCTAGTTACTCGTAACAACTTGACACACGGTTTTCATATAGCAGCGTGCGCCATATCCTTTGGCTCGCCCGTTCCTTCGTTCACCGCGTAGGCCGTCGCATTGGACGACGCAGGGAACTATATTTTCCGCCTCGTTTCTGGCAGGGGGCTGGCCAAGGCGAAGAGAGCATGGGTGGATGCCTGTCACAGGCTTTGACAAGCCTGTAGGTCCGTCGCGGTGTTCCTTTGGGCGTCCAACAAAACAGAGCAAATCGAGTCAAGGAGAGAGAGAGAAAGAGAGAGAGAGCGAGAGAGAGAGAGAGAGAGAAAGAGAGAAAGAGAGAAAGAGAGAGAGAGAGAGAGAGAGAGAAAAAAAAAAGGAGGCAGGAGGGACGCAGAATGAGGGGGGTCTCTGGCAGACGGGTTTCTCCCGGTGCCGCTGCTCTTGCCCCTGCTCCTACGTGCCTCACCGCGTCGGTCCGCCTGTCAGCAGCATTTTGGCGCGAAGCAGATACCTTGCGGGTGAACCAGCGTCTTGTTTGACAACGAGTCATGGCGCCAACATCGCACAGCGGATTTCGTTCGGAAAAAGAGAGGATGGGGATGGGCCCAGAGTGTCCTGGATAATCTCGTTCCGGATTTCGAGGTGAGTTTCGTGCGTTTTTTTGTGGGGGGCCAAGAGTGCAGACTTAAACAAATCTACGCGAAATTCACTTCGTTTTTGACTCGCCGCTTCTGGGTTTTTGCATTGGCAGAAATCCTCGCAGCAATCCGCTGCAGCACGTCTGCAGGGCCGGTGCAGTGAAACGAGGACTGCTGCCCCGAAGTCTGCTGCCCCTGCTCTGAGATGGTCCTTGCGCCTCAGCTCGGTCCCCCCCCCGCCGGGTGCCTCCCAGCGCCCGGCGCCCAGGACGCCCAGAACGAGAGGGACCTGAGCAGGAGCCCCGCGCCGCCAAGGTCCAGGGCGCCTCTCGGTCTCGCGGCGCCGTTCCCCGCCCTGCCCGTCGTCCAGCATCGTTCAGATCTGCGTCATCCCAGCATACTCATGCTGCATGCGCGTCGCCCCCCCAGGGGCGACGCGCGCACCGAGGAATCTGATAGTACATGCGTCATGGCGGGCGCTTTCTGGCCACGCCGCTCGGGAAACGATATGCTACAATATGTGTATACTAGATGGTCGGGTCGGACGCGCGCCTCCAAGGAGGACACATAGCATTAGTATGTCTCTGTGCGTCCCTTTTAGAGGACGAAGGACGGTATACAATAATCTTTTCTTCCGTCTGGGACGCCTGCCCCAGGGCGGCTGGAAAGCCTACACCTCTGCCCCGGCACGTCGGGGTATAACCTTTTTAGCCGCCCTGGGGCAGGCGTCCTCGACGGCGGGGAAGTTCATTCTATACTGTTCTTCGTCGGCTCAATCGTGAGGCCCACCCCCGTCCCCACTGGGAACGCCTTGCCCGACCGACCGTTACCTCGCAGGCCACCTCCTCGCCCCCCTAATTCCGAGTCCCCCCCCCCTGAGCGATGATCGTTTAGAAGAGGGGACCTCGGGGATGTGTGATCTGGGGTCGAGGGTTCACAGGCCCCTCCCCCAGATGGGATGGGTCCCAGGGCCCCTCGGACCCCCCCCTTCCAGATTGGAGGGGGGGGGGCGACGACGACGACGATCACGACGACGACGACGACGACGACGACGACGACGACGACGACGACGACGACGACGACGACGACGATGGCGACGACGGCGACGACGACGACGGCACCACACCCCACACCCGCAGCACTGGCACGCGCGACCACCCCGCGACCACCCCACGCCCACTAAGGCCACTCCCACGGGAGGGATGGGTCCACTTCGTGCGGGGTGGTGGCCTGAGGGCTTCATCATCATCAGTCGGGGGAGCGTAAGACCCGGGTTTGCCAGGACTCGGGTTCGCCATCGTTTTTTGACGACCGCGCCTCGGATTTTGACGAGGAGGAGTTTCGTGGGATGTCTGCAGCGGGAGGCCTCGTCAAATTGCAGGCTCGGCCTCGTCATTTTTTTGACGACCTCGTCGGGGATTTCCGAGTCCCCTGTACCCAGGTCTTACGTCTCCCCGAATCAGGGGAGGGGGCATAGCCCTGGATCATAGAGTTCCCCAGGGGGCTGTGCGGACGCTTCCTTCTCGAGGGTGGCTGCTCCCCCCGAGCGTACATTTCCGAGTCGGGCTTTGAATGTTGTGTCTGGTTGTCAGTCCCACAAAAGCCCCGGATTGTGGACGCGGGCATGGGAGCCCTCTCGGTCGTGTTCCGCGGCATCAATTCCCCCCTTGAGCGAGTAGGCTGGTGGCGCTCAGGAGCCCTGGTTCACTGTGGATGGGGACATCTCTGACGATGCTGAGTCGTCGTCGTTGTCGTCGTCGCCATCGTCATCGTCATCCTCATCGTCACGATCATCATTCACTTCATCACTCTCTTCCTCACTCCCACCCCGCTCCCAAAGCCTGGACCAGTGGTGCGATTGCAGGCATATCGATGTCCCAGCAGGCATCAGTTGCACCGCCAGTAGAAACTCACATCGCTGGGCCTTGGGCGACTTTTCATGGTCACAACGACGTTATTACCTGAAAGTGTGGCTCCTTGAAAGAAAGACTGCTGGTTTTGGACCGCCATTTTTCATGACATGTCTCTTGTACAGCGTAGGGCGCCTTGAGCCTCACGCAAAGTCACATGGAGATGTTCCAGACTGTCGAAGATGCCATGCAGTGACGAGTCCTTCGCCCAAGGCTGCCCAACACGTGGGGACGAGGTCGGCGATTTCAGCTTGCACGAGGGGCAAGAACAACCCCGGCTTTGGAGTGGCACCCTTGTAATCGTCCTCGGCGAGGGGGCTCTCCCATTCGTGGCAAGCATTGTTGTGGTTCTGTTTCGACTGTACCTGGCAGACTGCCATTCGCAGCTAGACCCATACAGAGCCACGTGCATTTTGGAACTCTGGCGTGCTTGTGCATCGTCCTCGGTTTTCGGTAGGGCAGGACACGCTGGACGATTCGAGAAGTAGGCTATGAGGCGGCTCGCGAACAAGGTACGGGTGTTTCGCGGGTCGGCTTATTTAGCAGACGCTGGATAATTCGTTGGGTTTGTAAGCACAGGGTTGCAAATTCAAGGTGAGGCGGTGTGACAAACAGTTTTCGCGACAATGTGGCCCTCAGTGGGTATATCTCGCGTGGGACAGTGAGGCTTGTATTACGTTCAAGTCTTCATAAGGTGCTGCTCGTCTCTAGCAGGCAGACTCCCAAATCCCAATGCTGTCCCCCTTCTCCATCCTTCCCCTCGTTCCTCTCCTCCCCTCCTCTCCTCCTCCTCTTCCCCTTCACACTTATTACATATGAATACGATTCTCTTCTCTCCGCCCGACAAGCCTAGGGAGGTTTTTATTTTTGAATCCCCCCGCTTGTCTCTCTCGGCGGGGAACAACTTAGTCCCTCCACATCCTCCTCTCCCTCCTCCACTCCTCCTGCTCCTTCTCCTCGTCTTCCTCGTGCTCCTTCTCGTGGTCGTTATCGTAGTCGTCGTTTTCGTCGTCGTCGTCGGTGTCGTCGTCGTCGCGGCGGAGAATATTTTTCCTCTATCGTTGGGCGGGCTGGATGAGGTTAGGGGGTCTACTTATTCCAGGGATTAATCCATTGTGGGTCACCCTACACGCCAGAGGATTCGTGAGCATCTTCTCATGAGGATTGCTATCGGACTCAGTGGGTGTGGCTGTATTTGTGATTGCAGTCGTAGTTGTAATCGTGATTCTGATCGTTATCGTAGTCGTGATTGTAATCGTAACCGTAGTCGTAGTTATAGTCGTAGTTGTAATCGTAGTCGTAAGTCGTCGTCGTCGCGGCGGATGATATTTTCTTTCTAGTTTTGGGCGGGCTGGATAATGTTTGGGGTCAACTTCTCCCAGGGAAGCATCCACTGTGGGCTACCCTACACGCGAGAGGATCCGTGAGGATCTTGTCATGAAGATTGCAACCGGAAGTAGTCGTAGTCGTTGTCGTAGTCGGAGTTGTAGTCGTCGTCGTAGTCGTAGTCGTAGTCGTAGTCGTAGTTGTAAGTAGGAGCCGCCGTTAGCTACTCGTAGTCCTAACCGTAATCGTGTTTGTACTCGTAACCGTAGTCGTGGTTGTAGTCGTAGTCGTAGTCGTATTCGTAGTCGTCGTCGTCGTCGCGGCGGAGACTATTTCCCCTCCAGTGTTGGGCTGGCTGGATAATGTTGGGGGTCAACTTCTCCCAGGGATGAATCCACTGGGCTACCCTACATGCGAGAGAATTTGTGAGCATCTTGTCAGGAGGATTGCAGTAGGAATTCTTTACGCTTCGCGTATCCCCACCAGCCCATCTCACAGCAGCAACTCTCGCGAAGCATGCCGACAGTTGTGTTTTTCAGGCGTGTGTCCGCTGGGCTCCGCATATCCCTCCTGTTCCCTCCTGGGCCGGTTCCTGTTGGCTTGGGTTCGGTGGTGCCTCCGATGTCGGCTATGGTAGTGACTGCCTTTGTTCTGGTGTGAGTCGTTCGGGCTCTTCGTCCTGGTGTGAGTCGTTCGGGCTTCCCGTGGTGAGAGTTGTTTGGGCGCCGCAACCGGGTGTGAGTCGTTCGGGCTCCTCCTCCTGGTGTGACTCCTTGGGGCTCCTCGTGGTGTGAGTCGTTCGGGGCCCTCGTCGTGGTGTGAGTCGTTCGGGCTCCTCGTGGTGTGAGTCGTTCGGGCGCCTCCTCCTGCTGTGAGTCGTTCGGGCGCCTCATTCTTGTGTGAGTCGTTCGGGCTCTTCGTGGTGTGAGTCGTTTGGGCCCCTCGTCCTGGTGTGAGTCGTTCGGGCTCCTCGCGGCGTGAGGCGTTCGGGCACCTCGTCCCCTTTTGGGGCGTCTTGGGAGCCTCTTGGCGGCCCCAAGGGCTTCTAGGAGTGTCTTAGGTGGCTTGGGGGAGCCTCTTCAGGCCTCATGGGAGCCTCGTGGCGGGCGTTTGGGGCGTCTTGGGGGCCTCTTGGCGGCCCCAGGGGCTTCCAGGAGCGTCTTGGGTGCCTCGGGGGAGCCTCTCGGGAACTCTTGCGGGGCATCTTGGGAGCCTCTTGGAGGCCTCTTGGGGGCCACCTGGGGGCCTCGTGAAAGCATCGTGGAGCCTCTTCCCGTCAGAAGAGGAAATGGAGCCCAAAAGCTTCGTGAAATGAATGATGTTGCCTTGAAGGACGAGGGGAGTCTTCATGAGCGCTGCCCCCTCAGAATGCGAAAGTGGCTCCAAATCGTAGTAAGATCAATGAGTCTTGGTGATTGCTGGGTGCCTTCGGGTGTCCGACAGTGGGCTGAGATGGTTTATGTTCTCTCGTCCAGTACTGGGAGTACCTTGTGATACATCGCTGCAACAGTAATCGGTGGTATCGCTACTGTGCCACACTGGGAAATCAGGCAGTTATCTCCGTGGGTGTGTCTGCTACCTCGGTGCAGTGGATTCGTTCGGTGCTCTCCTCCTGGTATGAGTCGTTCGGGTCCCCCCTCCTGGTCAGAGTCGTTCGGGCCCCTCCTCGATGTGTGAGTCGTTTGGCGAGGGGCCCGAACGACTCACACAAGGAGGGGCCCGAACGACTCACACCAGGGCGAGGGACCCCAAGTACTCACACCACCTGCGTTCTGGTCCAGGACGTGCACACTCTGAGTTCCGTGATTCCTTAGATCTGTTCGACGGGACCGATCTTGGAGGCGAGTTTCCCTTTCTGCTCCCCTTCCACCTTTCCCTCCTAAGCCGCCGCCTGCTGCCCGCGCCCGACTTGATGGGCGAACCTGCCTTGCAGGTGCAGGTCAGAGCTGCGAGCCTGAGCAGGGTAGTCACTTGTGCCGCGTGCGCACTGCAGAACTGTACAGGTAAGATCGCTTGATCGTCGACGCCGTCGTCCATTCAATCGTCGCGTTGTCATCGTAAGCATGGTCGTCGTCGTCGTCGTCGGCGTCGTCGCCGCCATCATCGTCTGAGAGGTCGCCGTCGTGTGAGTCGTCTGAGCCGGTTACGTGTAGGACTCGAGGAGGACCGTCTTCTGTCTTGGCTCCCATCGCCTTCTCTCCCTCCTCCTGTTCTTCCTCGTGGGCTCCCCCAACAAAATAAATGTAGAAAGATAGAACTGGAGGCAGGAGAAAGAAGACACAGGGGATATGTGCGAGGGCACGCGGAGACACGCCTGAAGCACACCGCGGTCGGCATGCTTCGCTAGAGTAGTAGTGGTGGTAGTGGTAGTGGTAGTTGTATTGTAGTAGTAGTCAGCATAGTAGTACTAGGACTACTAATAGTAGTAGTATGAGCTCTAGTAGAAATCGTATTAGTATGTGTCGTGGTAGGAGGAATAGCAGTAGTAGTAGTAGTAGTAGTAGTAGTAGTAGTAGTAGTAGTAGTAGTAGTAGTAATAGTAGTAGTAGTAGTAGTAGTAGTAGTAGTAGTAGTAGTAGTAGTAATAGTCGTAGTCGTAGTCATAGTAGTAGTAGTAGTAGTAGTAGTAGTAGTAGTAGTAGTAGTAGTAGTAGTAGTAGTAGCAGGTATATGTGTAGTAGATGGAGACGAAGTGTAGAAGTAGTAGCTCTAGATATAGTAGAAGTAGGAATCGTCGTGTTAACAGTTAACATACCAGTAGTAGTACTCGTACGCAGTAGCAGTCGTTCGGGCTCTTCGTGGTGTGAGTCGTTCGGGCCCCTCGTCCTGGTGTGAGTCGTTGGGGCTCCTCGTAGGGCCTCTTGGGGGCCTCTTGGAGCCTCTTGGGGCCTCTTGGGGGCCTCTTGGGGGCTTCTGGGGAGCCTCTTGAGGGCCTCGTGGGCCCTCCTGACGCCTCTTGGGGGCTTCTTGGGGGCTTCTTTGGAGCCTCTTGGGACCGCTTGAAGGCCTCTGGGGAGGCTCTTGGAGGCCTCTTGGGAGCCTCCTGGGCGCCTCTTGGAGCCATCTTGGGGCCTCGTGCGACCTCCTCAGAAGCGCCAGTGAGAGCTGCCCCCTCAAAAGGACAACATGAGCCCAAAACCTTCGTAACATCAGTAATTTTGCTATGAAGGAAGATGAGCGCGGCCCCCTTCAGGACGCCAAAATGGGGCCAACACCGTAGTAAAATCAATGATTTTGGCTTCAAAGAAGAGCAGAGGGGCCAAACTCGGTCCCCCCGTCGGGGCCACAATCCTCGTGAGGGTCGTCGTTTTTTGACCCTCCCAGGAGTCGAAAAAAAATCCTGGCCACCCGCGGGGGCCCCTCTCCAGGCCCAGGGGGAGGGGGTAGGGGGAGGGGTAAACCCTTCCCCGAAGGGGAAGAAGGGGGGGTGAGAACAGAGAGAGCTCGCTAAACCACTCACGCCCGAAGGGCTGGCGGGATTATTTGTAGTCCATACCGTAGTCGGAGTTGCAGTCGTAGTCGTAGTCGTAGTCGTTGTCGTAATGATAATCGTGGTCGTTGAACATTCGTAGTCGTAGTCGTAGCCGTCGCCGTAGTCGTATTGTGGTCGCAGTCGTAGTCGCAGTCGTCGTCGTCGTCGTCGTCGTCGTCGTCGTCGTCGTCGTCGTCGTCGTCGTAGTTGTTGTGCGAGGGGCGCCGCGGAGAAATAGTTTTCGTTTCCACTATTGGTGGGGCCAGACTCTGTCAATAAGGCGTCCAGTAGATAAGCAGTTTTCAACTTCTGGGGGGTTTAAGGGCCCGCGGAGGTTATTTTTGCCTACGCGCACGATGCCAACCACTGAGATATTATATTTGTTTTCTTGGTCAGTCGGAGCGTTTTTGGGTTTCCAAATGGTGCTCCCGCTGCAGCGTTGGTACCAGTTTAGGATCGACGCTTTGCTCCATTCGTTCAGAGTGGCGCTCTCGCCTCAGCGTGGGCCACACTCCTGGGTCCCAGTCCTTCGTCGTCGTTGTCACCCCCTCCTTTACTTTCCTCCGTGTTCACCCCAGTCTTCCTGCTCCTCCCGCTCCTTCTGCTGCTGCTGTTCCTCCTCCTCCTCCTTTTTCTCCTCCTCTTCCTCCTGCTCATCTTCCTGCTTATCCTCTTTCTCCTGCCGCCTCCCCCACCTTCTCCCCGAGTTACGCCAATCGGGTTAGTCTTGGGCTTGTATCTGGCTGTCCTGTGACCGTGTCGAAGTTGTTTCGGGGGACGGAAAATGGCCCCGGGTTGCTCGTCCGAGGGTTGCTTCTCAGACACTCGTAGAGAGGCACTTCCACAGGGGAGGGCGTGAGGACAGATGTTCAGGCATGCCCAGCATGATAATGCGTCGTTGCAGAGCGTTCCAGCGCGCTCTCGGAGTGTTCCCGATCTCCCTGGAACGGCGCCTCATACACCCCCGAGATCTTCTGGTTCTCAGAGATTTCCGGTCTATCCTTGTCGGAATTCGTTTGGGGTGTGTGTGGGGGGGTCCGAGGTCGCTCAAGACAGGGCTCGCGCGGCGAAGGAGTCTCTCCCCTCCACGGGAGGTCGAGGCGGTTGAGGCGCCAACTGTATTTTTGGTATGCAGCGTTAGTGTTCGTTGTTCTGATGCTTTGAATGGCGCTGCATTCGCGCTCGCGGCAGATCCACTGACACGTGCCTGCAGCCTTCGTCTCAGGTGTGGCCCATCCGCCCCAGCCGCCTGCCGCGCCCGCGCAGGAGCGAGAAGCTCGTGGCGCTGGCCGGCTTCCCCGCGCCCAGCGCGCCAGACATCCTCGTGGTCGTCGGCGAGGACACCATCGTGGAGTTCGACCCCTTGCAGGCGCCGCCCGTCGCTCGCCTCCCTGCGCTGCCTGTGTCCAGCTTCGACCTCCTGGGGCCGTTTTCTCGGGCCCTCGGGCGATGCATTGGTCGGAGGATCGCCGATGCATCGCCGATGCACCGCCGGTGCATCGGCGGTGCACTGGCGATGCGGTGCGATCGATCCCGCGACCCCATCTGGGAGGCCTCTGTAGCCCAGGAGGAGGAGGAGGAGGAGGAGGAGGAGGAGGAGGAGGAGGAGGAGTCCGGGCGTCGTCGTGGTCTAGTTTGTGGGTGTACTTCTCGAGGCGTCGCGTATCACCACCAGCCCAGGGACAATCCCCCGCGGGGATCAGCAGCCTTCGGCGGATTGGACTTGGACCTCGACGTCGAGCGATGGGCCATGGCCGATCGCGAGGGCAGGGGGGGGGTCGCTCGATCGCTTATCGCCCGTTTTTCTTGCCTTGCATTGTAGACACGAGAGCTGGGATGCGGTGGTGGCCGACGAGTTTAGTCGTCAGTCTTTTGCTGTCGAGTAGTCTGCCCCGTCTGCGTCCGCACCGCCCTCGGCCTTCTTGCCCAAAGAATTCCGCCAGCTGCTGCAGTTACCACAACAAATTTTGCGCGGGGCCCGCGCAAAACTTGTACTGAGATTGCTTTGCCGCGAAGTGCGAAGATATCCGCCCCGCCTGCGTCGTCGTCGTCCTCCTCCTCCTCCTCCTCCCCCCTCCTCCAATCCTTTCCCTTTTGATGACTCCTCCCTGTCGCACCCCGAGGCCAGTCGGAAGGGTGGGCCGGGCGTTTCGCATCAGACTTTTTTGCCATGTATGATCCTGAAGTTTCAAACGTTCAACAGTTTCACGGATGGAGGGCGGGTGGTTTTCAACATGTGACTCTCGCTTTAGCGTTGTGCATATCCTTTTTCAAAACTTGCAAGAGTTTCACGGATGGAGGGCGGTTGGTTTCCAAAATGTGGTTCTCGCCTCAGCTCCGCGCACATTGTGTAAGCGTTTAACAGGTGGAGGGCGGTTTCTTTTCAACATGTGGTTCTCGCCAAAGCGCCGCGAACATTCGTTTTGAGAGTCTACAGCAGTCTCAAGGATTATCATTGTTCATTTCCCAGATGTCGGATTTTCAGGGCAAAGCAGTTACATTAATTCGTGGTGTTGAAGTCTCAGGAATGGTGTTTGGGCGCAGTTCAGGATTTTCAAACGATTATTTTTCAACGGGGCAAATCCTGCATTGAATCATGACTCCTAGTTGGCGCCTGTGAAGACAGCTTGAAGTGAGGGTTTATTTCAATATCGTTGATGGTTCTTGGGTTTGCACAGATCCTCCTCCTCCTCCTCCTCCTCCTCTTCTCCTCCTCTGCTCCTGCTGCTCCTCCTCCTCCCCCTCCTCCTCACCCCCCTCCTCCTCCTTCTCCTCCTCCTTCCCCTCCTCCTCTCCTCCCCTCTCCTCCTGCTGCTCCTCCTCCCCCTCCTCTTCCTCCTCCCCCTCCTCCTCCCTCAAGCCACTTGGGCCCAGACCATTTTGGCAGGAGCCCAAGCCTCGACCCCGCCACGTGGGGGCTTGAGGGGCAAGTCGTCGCCCACCGCACCCGAGCCAGGCTCGGCAGCTTCGGTGGTAGATCGGCTTGGCGAAGTCGAGGATGTCGACAGCAGCAGGCTCGGAGGCGTGGAGCAAGTGCGGTGCCTGCGGAAGGTGCGAGTACAATTCGATCCTCACCGAGAGGGACAGGAAGTGCAAGTGCGGGCGGCAGGTGAAGCTCTTCAAGCCGAAGAAGGCCGCCGGCGCAGACACCGCCCAGTCCAACCAGCTGAAGACGGTCGGAGGCAACAAGGGCGGGGAGGCAGACGCTGTAGGCGCAGCTGCCAGCCCAGCCGATCGCCTCGGGCTCATGCGGAGCACGATGGCCACGACCGACGACCCTTTGTTGAAGAAGTTGTTAGGCGACGAGATCGCCAAGCTCGAGGCCGCCCGGGCGAACCCCCCTCAGAGCAAGGAGGAGGCGTTGCGGCACGCCTCAGGAGCTTGGCGCGATGCGTCGCTCAGGCATGACCAGGCCATCCAGGCCGTGGTCAAAGCGCAAGATAACCTAGCCAAGGCACAGCAGAGAGAGAGCGAGGCCGCCCTGACTCTGGCCAAGTGCGAGGCCGCCAGGCGTTTGGCAGCGCAGGGCATGGCGGCCGAGATGGGCCTCGGCGGCACGGAGACCACCAAGAGCGAGGTCAGGGAGGTTCTCTTCGAGGTGAAGATCGACGAGGAGTTTTTCCAGTCCGTAGACTCCCTGGACATAGAGGAGACAGACAGGAAGGCGCTGAAGCAGCTGGAGCAGGAGCTACGCAGCGCTCAATCGCTCATCGAGGGCAAGCACACGGAGGTCAAATCGTGGAACGAGAGGATGACCACCCTGCGTGCGAAGATCGACGAGCGGCTCAAGAAGAAGAGGCGCCAAGGGATTGGCGAGGCAGCTGCTGGCGGCGACGGCGGCAGCGCGGAGGGCCACGATGGTGCTCCAGCGGGCTCCGCCCCAGGCGCCAGCGGGGGCCCCGCGGCCGCCGCGACGGCGGCCCCCGCCGCTGGCGACGGAGCCGCCCCCGCCACGGCAGATGCCGCCGCCGCGGAGGCACGCGCCACGCAGGACGCCGCCGACCGCATCAGCGCGGCCAAGCTGGCGGCGGCGCAGGCGGCGCAGCAGGCGAAGAAGGCAGCTGCCCAGGCTACCGCGGCTTCGGCGGCGGCGGCGGCGAGCGGCCCGCAGTGAGATCAGCAGCCGTCTTCCCCTCCCTCGCCGAGTCCGTCGACTGGTGCACTGCGGGAGGCGAGGACGGCTCAGCAGGGCGGCGCTAGTGCCGCTCACGATGCAGATAATTCAGTGAGTACCTTTTTCTTTGCCAACATCACCTGTGCTGGACGGCAAGCTTGGGATTTCCTGATTGAGCAGCCCTACCACTTCATGGGCGTGGTCGAATCACACGTGGACGCTAGGAGCCTCGCCGAGTGGGGTGGCAAGGCCAGAGAGGCGAAGCTTCGTCTGCTGGCCAACCCAGCCAGGCCACCAGGGCGGGGCGGCGCCTCCTCGAGCCAGGCCGCCAGGGCCAACGGGGGAGGCGAGTGGCTGCTGACGCAGGGTCATCGTAGTGTTAGGAGTTTAGCTGAATCTTGGCGTGCTTTGCGGGCAGACGGGCACGACGCATTAGATGGGCTCCAGGCCTCTCTGATTGATATGCGAGGATTTTCATTTGTCGCAATCTGTTTTTATGGGTTCGCCAGTGAAGGATGGTCGGGGCGAAACCTGCAACGATTTCGGAGGTTAGGGGCCCTCTTGGTCAGCCTCCAGTTGCCGTGGGTTGTTTTTGCTGATTGGAATATGCCAGCTTCCAGCTTAGAGACGCGTGGATTTCTTGCCAAGGTCCAGGGCCATGTCTTGAGGGCTTCGAATATTGAGGTGACGTGCGCAGCAGGCGCCCAAGGTTCGGAGATAGACTATGCCGTGGCAAGCTCGAATTTTGTACCATATGTCTTGTCTCTGGAGGCCCGTGTAGATGTGCCTTGGAAAACGCATTGCGGTCTGCTAATGCGTTTCAGGGGCACAGCCAGTCAGTTGGTCGCACGTTCTTTGGACATCCCAGCCAAGCTGCCACAGTCCCACCGCCTCACCTCCATCCCCTCGCCTGGCTCCAAATCATCTCGGGCCAAAGCCCAACGTCTGGAGGCTCAGGAGGCTGCTAGAGCTCGTAGTGCCGAGGAGGCTCATTTGTTGTTTGGGGATATTTTTGGAAGAGCCAGGGGATAACTCCCAGGGCCCCGATCCCCCAGGGTCAGACGGTATCACCCACGATTTAAACCAATTTTTAAATCAGGATGCTGAGTTAGATTTTGACTTTGGGGCCTGGGATGACGAGGAGGAGGATCCGTGGGCTCACGAGGGGAATTTTGGCGCCTGTGACGGGACTTCTGTCTCTGGTGGCGCGAGCTCTGGAGCCAGCGGTGTCGGAGGCAAGTCTGGAGCCCCCCTCTCGAGCACATCGGTCCCCCCGAGTCCCAAGGAGGCCACTGCGGGTGTCACCAGTCAGGGCCTCGAGGTTCCACCAGTAGAGTCTCGCGACCCTTCGGCGATCCCCTCGTGCACGGCTGAGGATGCTGCTGCCTCTCTCCCCCCTTTTGCTCTCCCGTCATCGTTGTGGCTCAAGCATCGGACTCACGTTGGTTTTCTCCACACTCCATGCGCCTGGAGTGTGGTTCGCGATTCCCTGGCTTACAAAGCTGGGGCCACCCACATAGATCAAGTCAGTGGCATGTATGGGGCATGGGCACTGGCGCTCGAGGGCGCAGTTTACGAGCACCACGAGATGGTTCCTCCTGCTAGGCGACCCCGCCGAGCAGACGGGCCACGTTTTCGAGTACACGAGGTTCGCATGTCTGAACGCAGCAGGGCTCTACCCTTGCTGGACCGCTGCAGCACTTGGTGGTCGCGATGCCATACGGTGCTGGGACGTTTGGCACACCATCGGCGTCGAGGTAACGGTTCACGACAGTGCGCTACTCTGCTCCAGGCCTGCCAGAGGTTGGTCACGGACTACCCTGAGAGGGCTCACCTGTCCCTCTCCAGGACTTGGACGTGGAACAACTGGCTGGAGCATGTGAAGTCGCCCGATGGTCTTTCGATCGAGTCCCTGACGGACTTGGTGGCGACGGCCGAGAAGGGAGCCAGCAGAGCCCGTGGCAAAGCTCTGCACGCTTCTTTGGACGACTTCAAGACCTGGATTGTAGAGGATAACTCAGTCAACATCTTGCATAAGAGTATCAAGAAGATCCCTGCAGCTCCGCTGGAGCTCATCACCCCCGCTGGCGTTGTGCACCACCCCAGGGACATCATTGACACCAAAGTCACGAAGTGGCACGACCTGTGGGGCAGCACACCGCTTGATCAGGTGCAGCTGCTCAGGGAGCTCGACACAATCAAGGCAGAGGCGGAGTTCCAAGAGTTGCCTCCGCTGACGGGGGAGATGCTGAAGG